GGCCATTAATATTGTTCCACAGATCTTCCCTTTCCATGGCCATTAATATTGTTCCACAACCCTTCCTTTTCCATGGCCATTATAATGGAGTTGCCCCCAAAAGTCTGTGGGCGCCTGACCATCACATCAACTGTATATCAGCTTGTTGGACATCCTATTTCAAAATCATGCTTATTAATATGGAGTTTCCCTCATTTCCATCATGGCCATTTATATGGGGTTGCCCCCCTTTGTGGCTATAACACCTGACACCCTTCTGGGAAGACTTTCGAAAAGACTTTGGAGGTTGTCTGTGTAGTTTGTGCCCATTTGTGAGGTTGATGTGATGTTGGATGAGAAGACCTGGCTCACAATGAGCATTCCAATTCACCCCAAAGGTGTTCAGTAGGGTTGAGGTCAGGGCTCTGTGCAGGACACTTGAGTTCCCCCATGACCTAAAATCTATTGAACACCTTTGGAATGAGGAGATCCGATCCCAAAAGTCTTCAGTAGGGTTAAGGTCAGGTACTGGTGTTGATGAGAAGACCTTTCAAAATTAGGGTTGAGGTCAGGGCTCTGTGGAAGACACTCAAGTTCCTCCATGACCTTAAACCTACTGAACACCTTTAGAATGAGAATACCCAATCCCAAGACTGTTCAGTAGGGTTAAGGTCAGGTATGGATGTTGGATACAAAGATCTGATCCCATAGGTGTTCAGTAGGGTTGAGGTCAGGTACAGATGTTGGATGAGAAGATCTGATCCCATAGGTGTTCAGTAAGGTTAAGGTCAGGCACAGATGTTGGATAAGAAGATCTGATCCCATAGGTGTTCAGTAGGGTTGAGGTCAGGTACTAAACAGGTATTCCAAAAATAGGATTGAGGTCAGGGCTCTGTGGAGGGCACATTCGAGTTCCTCCATGACCTCAAACCTACTGAACAACATTGGGATGAAAGGATCTAATTCCAAAAAGGTGTTCTGTAGATTTGAGGGCAGGTACTAATGTTAGATGAGAAGACCTAATTCCAAAGGTCTTCCAAAAGTAGGGTTGAGGTCAGGGCACTGTGGAAGACACTCAAGTTCATCTATGACCTTAAACCTACTGAACACCTTTATAATGAGAAGACCTGATCTGAAGACTGTTCAGTAATGTTAAGGTCAGGTACGGATGTTGGATAAGAAGATATGATCCCATAGGTGTTCAGTAAGGTTAAGGTCACTTATGGATGTTGGATAAGAAGATCTGATCCCATAGGTGTTCAGTAAGGTTAAGGTCAGGTATGGATGTTTGATAAGAAGATCTGATCCCATAGGTGTTCAGTAAGGTTAAGGTCAGGTACGGATGTTGGCTAAGAAGATCTGATCCCATAGGTGTTCAGTAAGGTTAAGGGTCAGGTACGGATGTTGGCTAAGAAGATCTGATTCCATAGGTGTTCAGTAGGGTTAAGGTCAGGTATGGATGTTGGATAAGAAGATCTGATTCCATAGGTGTTCAGTAGGGTTGAGGTCAGGTATGGATGTTGGATAAGAAGATCTGATTCCATAGGTGTTCAGTAGGGTAAGGTCAGGTATGGATGTTGGATAAGAAGATCTGATTCCATAGGTGTTCAGTAGGGTCGAGGTCAGGTACTAAACAGGTATTCCAAAAGTAGGATTGAGGTCAGGGCTCTTTGAAGGGCACATTCGAGCTCCTCCATGACCTCAAACCTACTGAACAACATTGGGATGAAAAGATCTAATTCCAAAGGTGTTCTGTAGGGTTGAGGACAGGTACTAATGTTAGATGAGAAGACTTAATTCCAAAGGTCTTCCAAAAGTAGGGTTGAGGTCAGGGCACTGTAGAAGACACTCAAGTTCATCCATGACTTTAAACCTACTGAACACCTTTAGAATGAGAAGACCTGATCCCAAGACTGTTCAGTAGGGTTAAGGTCACGTACGGATGTTGGATAAGAAGATCTGATCCCATAGGTGTTCAGTAAGGTTAAGGTCAGGTACGGATGTTGGATAAAAAGATTATGGAATATTACCAGGACCCTTTACTTTACAGGTACGGACGTTGGATGAGAAGATCTGATCCCATAGGTGTTCAGTAATGTTAAGGTCAGGTACGGATGTTGGATAAAAAGATCTGATCCCATAGGTGTTCAGTAAAGGAAGGTCACTTATGGATGTTGGATAAGAAGATCTGATCCCATAGGTGTTCAGTAAGGTTAAGGTCAGGTACGAATGTTATAAGAAGATCTGATCCCATAGGGTTCAGTAAAGTTAAGGTCACTTAGATGTTGGATAAGATCTGATCCCATAGGTGTTCAGTAAGTTAAGGTCACTTATGGATGTTGGATAAGAAGATCTGATCCCATAGGTGTTCAGTAATGTTAAGGTCAGGTACGAATGTTGGATAAGAAGATCTGATCCCATAGGTGTTCAGTAGGGTTGAGGTCAGGTACTAAACAGGCATTCCAAAAGCAGAATTTAAGTCAGGGCTCAGTGGAGAACACATTCGAGTTCCTCCATGACCTCAAACCTACTGAACAACATTGGGATGAAAAGATCTAATTCCAAAGGTGTTCTGTAAGGTTGAGGGCAGGTACTAATGTTAGATGAGAAGACCTAATTACAAAGGTCTTCCAAAAGTAGGGTTGAGGTCAGGGCTCTGTGCAGGACACTTGAGTTCCTCCACACCAAACTGGTCATCCATGTCTTTATGGAGCTGGTTTTGTACACAGGGCACAGTCATGGTGGAACAGAAAAGGGTCTTCACCAAACTGTTACCACAAGGATGGAAGAGCACAATTGTCTACAATATCTTTGTATTATGGAATATTACCGGGACCCTTCACTGGAGGCATCTGAACTCCATCATTTGGAGGGGGAGTTCACATACTTTTTCCTCTGTAGGTAGCTGTGATGATCAGGGTCCCATCATTTGGTATGACCCACGCAGGGGATTAAAACATTGCTGTATAATGGCTTTGAACAATGAACAAACAATACTATTTAGCATGACTTTGGTACAATTGCCTCCAAGGGATGGGTGAGGGGAAAACAGACATATGTGTTCCCACCATAAAACTCTGTGAGTGGTTAATAATTCATGGAGATCAATACAAACTGTAAATTTACACTCATACATACTATAACAATGTACAGCTAAAGTAAGATGGATTTTCCATATATATCACAAAACAAAGCTTAACGTTAGACCTCTGTAGACCCCGGTCTGACTTTCCTGTCCTTCAGCAGAATCCACCCCTATTACACCTCCTTTGTCACCCAACCCGTCTTACTGGGGAATGGAAGGGATGAGCAAAATTAGCAGCTTTTGCATATACTGAATTAAAGAGAAAATTGGGGGGTTTCAGTGCAACTTTTCCACTTTGGTGAAGCATTGTGGTCAATAGAAAAGGTGGCTTAAGGGTGCATTGGACGTTGAATGGCTCCTGAGGATTTCGGAACTTCTTTCAACTATTCTTTTGCTGGACAACAGACCCATGTTGCCTGTGAAGAAGATGTTTGATATGATAATGCCAATGTAAGGGACATTCTTCCCACTGACCTCCAATGTAAGGGACATTCCTCCCACTGACCACCAATGTAAGGGACATTCTTCCCACTGACCCCCAATGTAAGGGACATTCTTCCCACTGACCCCCAATGTAAGGGACATTCTTCCCACTGACCCCCAATGTAAGGGACATTCTTCCCACTGACCCCCAATGTAAGGGACATTCTTCCCACTGACCCCAATGTAAGGGACATTCTTCCCACTGACCCCCAATGTAAGGGACATTCTTCCCACTGACCACCAATGTAAGGGACATTCTTCCCACTGATCTCCAATGTAAGGGACATTCTTCCCACTGATCCCCAATGTAAGGGACATTCTTCCCACTGACCCCCCAATGTAAGGGACATTCTTCCCACTGATCACCAATGTAAGGGACATTCTTCCCACTGACCCCCAATGTAGGGACATTCTTCCCACTGACCCCCAATGTAAGGGACATTCTTCCCACTGACCCCCAATGTAAGGGACATTCTTCCCACTGACCACCAATGTAAGGGACATTCTTCCCACTGATCACCAATGTAAGGGACATTCTCCCACTGACCACCAATGTAAGGGACATTCTTCCCACTGACCCCCAATGTAAGGGACATTCTTCCCACTGATCACCAATGTAAGGGACATTCCTCCCACTGACCACCAATGTAAGGGACATTCTTCCCACTGACCCCCAATGTGAGGGACATTCTTCCCACTGACCCCCAATGTAAGAGGCATTCTTCCCACTGACCCCCAATGTAAGGGACATTCTTCCCACTGACCACCAATGTAAGGGACATTCTTCCCACTGACCACCAATGTAAGGGAGCATTCTTCCCACTGACCACCAATGTAAGGGCATTCTTCCCACTGAACCCCCAATGTAAGGGGCATTCTTCCCACTGACCCCCAATGTAAGGGACATTCTTCCCACTGACCCCCAATGTAAGGGACATTCTTCCCACTGATCACCAATGTAAGGGACATTCTTCCCACTGATCACCAATGTAAGGGACATTCTTCCCACTGACCCCCAATGTAAGGGACATTCTTCCCACTGACCCCCAATGTAAGGGACATTCTTCCCACTGATCACCAATGTAAGGGACATTCTTCCCACTGATCACCAATGTAAGGGACATTCTTCCCACTGACCCCAATGTAAGGGACATTCTTCCCACTGACCCCCAATGTAAGGGACATTCTTCCCACTGACCCCCCAATGTAAGGAGCATTCTTCCCACTGACCCCCAATGTAAGGGACATTCTTCCCACTGATCACCAATGTAAGGGACATTCTTCCCACTGATCACCAATGTAAGGGACATTCTTCCCACTGATCACCAATGTAAGGGACATTCTTCCCACTGACCCAATGTAAGGGACATTCTTCCCACTGACCCCCAATGTAAGGGACATTCTTCCCACTGACCCCCAATGTAAGGGACATTCTTCTCACTGACCCCCAATGTAAGGGACATTCTTCCCACTGACCCCCAATGTAAGGGACATTCTTCCCACTGACCCCCAATGTAAGGGACATTCTTCCCACTGACCCCCAATGTAAGGGACATTCTTCCCACTGATCACCAATGTAAGGGACATTCTTCCCACTGACCACCAATGTAAGGGACATTCTTCCCACTGACCCCCAATGTAAGGGACATTCTTCCCACTGATCACCAATGTAAGGGACATTCCTCCCACTGACCACCAATGTAAGGGACATTCTTCCCACTGACCCCCAATGTGAGGGACATTCTTCCCACTGACCCCCAATGTAAGGGCATTCTTCCCACTGACCCCCAATGTAAGGGACATTCTTCCCACTGACCCCCAATGTAAGGGACATTCTTCCCACTGACCCCCAATGTAAGGGACATTCTTCCCACTGATCACCAATGTAAGGGACATTCCTCCCACTGACCCCCAATGTAAGGGACATTCTTCCCACTGACCCCCAATGTAAGGGACATTCTTCCCACTGATCACCACTAAGGATTCTTCCCACTGACCACCAATGTAAGGGATATTCTTCCCATTGACCCCCAATGTAAGGGACATTCTTCCCACTGATCACCAATGTAAGGGACATTCTTCCCACTGATCACCAATGTAAGGGACATTCTTCCCACTTCGCCAACTGTAAGGGACCCCAATGTGACCCCCAATGTAAGGGACATTCTTCCCACTGACCCCCAATGTAAGGGACATTCTTCCCACTGACCACCAATGTAAGGGACATTCTTCCCACTGACCCCCAATGTAAGGGACATTCTTCCTGGTGATCTCCAATGTAAGGGACATTCTTCCCACTGACCCCCAATGTAAGGGGCATTCTTCCCACTGATCACCAATGTAAGGGACATATCTTCCCACTGACCACCAATGTAAGGGGCATTCTTCCCACTGATCACCAATGTAAGGGACATTCTTCCCACTGACCACCAATGTAAGGGACATTCTTCCCACTGACCACCAATGTAAGGGACATTCTTCCCACTGACCCCCAATGTAAGGGACATTCTTCCTGGTGATCTCCAATGTAAGGGACATTCTTCCCACTGACCACCAATGTAAGGGACATTCTTCCCACTGACCACCAATGTAAGGGACATTCTTCCCACTGACCACCAATGTAAGGGACATTCTTCCCACTGACCCCCAATGTAAGGGACATTCTTCCCACTGATCACCAATGTAAGGGACATTCTTCCCACTGATCACCAATGTAAGGGACATTCTTCCCACTGATCACCAATGTAAGGGACATTCTTCCCACTGACCCCCAATGTAAGGGACATTCTTCCCACTGACCACCAATGTAAGGGACATTCTTCCCACTGACCCCAATGTAAGGGACTTTCTTCCCACTGACCCCCAATGTAAGGGACTTTCTTCCTGGTGACCATCACACTAATGTATCGTGAGCTGTAGAAAGGTTGTGTTAGAGGCACACTCTGTATGGAGTTATATCTGCTATGTGGACCATGTGGAACGCTCTACACAACCCAAAGGCATGGTGGGGCAGATTAAAGGCTCTGTTCACATGCAATGCCTGCTACTGCAACACACGAGGAACATTGCATTGGCATTCGCTTCAAGTGCCACCACAGCCCACCTAGGCCGAGCACTGAAGCTGAACCCCGGCTAAAACAGAAATCCTCCCTTCCAGTGGGACAGCCCCAACCAGGGGCGGACTGACAACTTATGGGGCCCCCGAGCAATAGGGGATCATGGGGCCCCTGTGTCCTTGCCCAAACTCAAAAAAGCCTATGAAAAAGGTACCAGGGGCATCTCATGGGGCCCTCTTACTGACCCCGGGCCCTCGGGCAGTGCCTGAGTTTCCAAATGGTCAGTCCGCCCCTGGCCCCAACACTGAACCCCAACAAAAAAAAACATGACTTACCCAATCCTCTGCTCCCGCAGGCTCCTCCTGCACTACTAGACCGGTCTCCGCAGGCTCCTCTTCCCTACGCTCCCATGGTTTCAGGTCATTAAATACAATACAGCACCCATAGCCCTGCATTGGACATGAAGACGCAAAGGGACAGTCCACCGCCAGAGTGTAGGGACGTTCAGAAGAGCGTCGGTGTCCAGGAGAGCAGGGACCAGGTATATAAACTACTCTAGATCACGGGTGTCAAACTGGTGGCCCTCCAGCTGTGGCCAAACTACAAGACCCATGATGCATTGCAAGATTGACAGTTACAAGCATGACTCCCAAAGGAGGGGCATGATGGGACTTCAGTAGTTTCGCAACAGCCGGAGGGCCACCAGTTTGACACCCCTGGTCTAGATGTAATTGACCCAGGGGCGGACTGACAACTCATGGGGCCCCCAGGCAATAGGGGATCATGGGGTCTCTGTGTCCTTGCCCAAACTCAAAAAAGCCTATGAAAAAGGTACCAGGGGCATCTCATGGGGCCCCCTACTGACCACGGGCCCTCAGGCAGTGCCCGAGTTTCCAAATGGTCATTTCTCCCCTGAATTGACCATTTAACCCTCGCAATGCAGGGGCAGCCCCACTACACGGGAAGATTTCACCCCTTTCCTGGAGTCAGGCTTGAAATGACACTATGCTGGCAAGCATGCTGACACAGGGAGCCTCACGTATATTCCTGTCCAGAGGCGGACTGACCATTGGGGCACTGCCCGAGGGCCCGGGGTCAGTAGGGGGCTCCATGAGATGCCTCTGGTGCCTTTCATAGGCTATTTTGGATGTGGTTTGAGTGTGGGCGAGAACACAGGGGCCCCATGATCCCCTATTGCCCGGGGGCCCCATGAGTTGTCAGTCCACCCCCGTTCCTGTCCAAGACCGCATTTGCGTAACCCTCCCCCCCCACTTACTGCCAGGCTGTATATTATTTCTTAACCCCAGGTTCCTTTTAACAGTTTCAGTTTAGCGATTAATTGCCCCCTCCATGCCGAAAAAACGTCCACATTCACCTTCAAGAGAAAACAAACATTCCCTCTAATAATCTCATTAGCACCAAGCAGAGAAAAAGTTCAAATAAACAGGCTGTGGGCGCTTTCAGAATGGCAAACGCAGCAATCTGTGTCTCAGCCGCTAGATGGCGCTGCACACCGCCATTCCCATCATGGAAGGCTCACATGGGGTTAGTACATGGCTCCACCACCACTGGTGGGGGGGGTGACAATGTTTATTAGGTGGTTGAACCTTCCTTCTAAACAGACTGTCAAGCCTGCCTAAAACTTGTTAGAGTTCACGATTAAAATATATGACTGTTTATGGAAATGACACCTGTAGAGTAAAAGAAGGATGGAAAATGAATGTGGAGGTCAATGACCGTGTCACCAATGTGGGGAATGGCCAGGCAGACGCCTAATTTATGATCGTGTTCAGACCGCCGGGTAATGAAATTGCAGCTATTGTGGGTTACTAGGCTCATCATGCTAAAGTGGACCTCTCATATCATGACATGTCTACACGGAGTCTGCTGCAGGAAGGAGGAAGCATTTCCTCAGTCTCCTCTCATAGAACTGTATCACTAGTTGGGATGTTGGAGAAACCTCACTATCGGCATTCCATAACTCCCGTTCACTAAACTCATTCCTGACGCGTCGTAATAGTCAGAAAAAAGTATCTTCAATGATAAAAGCTTCACCTTTTATGATTAAAAAGCCATCTATGAGTTCCAGTCAGTGACATTACCAAGGGTGAGATGATGCCATCAGTCTGCTGCAGGAAGGAGGAAGCATTTCCTCAGTCTCCTCTCCCTTAGTGATCACACTGAAATATTGTAATTTTGTATCAAGTCACAAACATCCTCCAATATCCTAGTTGGGATGTTGGAGAAGACCTGGCTCACTATCAGCATTCCATAGTATCCCAAGGGTCTTCACTAGGGTTTGAGGCTCTTGAGCTCCTCTATGATCTTAAACCTACTGAACATCTTTGGGATAAAAAGACCTCATACCAAAGGTGTTCCGTAGGGTTAAAGGCAGGTACTGATGTTGGGTAAGACATTATACCAAAGGTCTTCCAAAAGTAGGGCTGAGGTCAGGGCTGTATGCAGCACACTCGAGTTTCTCCATGACCCCAGACCTACTGAAGACCTTTGAGATGCGAAGACCTCATACCAAAGGTGTTCTGCAGAGTTAAAGGCAGGTACTGATGTTGGGTAAGACATTATACCAAAGGTCTTCCAAAAGTAGGGCTAAGGTCAGGGCTGTATGCAGCACACTCCAGTTCCTCCATGACCCCAGACCTACTGAAGACCTTTGAGATGCGAAGACCTCATCCCAAAGGTGTACTGCAGGGTTAAAGGCAGATACTGATGTTGGGTAAGACATTATACCAAAGGTCTTACAAAAGTAGGGCTGAGATCAGCCCTGACCTCAGCCCTACTTTTGGAAGACCTGCCCTTAACCCTACGGAACACCTTTGGTATGAGGTCTTCTTATCCCAAAGATGTTCAGTAAGTTTGAGGTCATGGAGGAACTTGAGTGTCCTGCACAGAGCCTTGACCTCAACCTCACATTTGGAAGACCTTTGGTATAATGTTTTCTTACGCAATATAACCTTATGGAACACCTTTGGTATGAGGTCTTCTCATACCAAAGGTGTTCCGTAGGGTTAAGGGCAGGTACTGATGTTGGGTAAGAAAACATTATACTGAAGATCTTCCAAAAGTAGGGCTGAGGTCAGGGCTGTATGCAGCACACTCGAGTTTCTCCATGACCCCAGACCTACTGAAGACCTTTGAGATGCGAAGACCTCATACCAAAGGTGTTCTGCAGGGTTAAAGGCAGGTACTGATGTTGGGTAAGACATTATACCAAAGGTCTTCCAAAAGTAGGGCTGAGGTCAGGGCTGTATGCAGCACACTCGAGTGCCTCCATGACCCCAGACCTACTGAACACCTTTGAGATGCGAAGACCTCATACCAAAGGTGTTCTGCAGGGTTAAAGGCAGGTACTGATGTTGGGTAAGACATTATACCAAAGGTCTTCCAAAAGTAGGGCTGAGGTCAGGGCTGTATGCAGCACACTCGAGTTTCTCCATGACCCCAGACCTACTGAACACCTTTGAGATGAGAAGACCTCATACCATAGGTGTTCCGTATGGTTATATTGCATAAGAAAACATTATACTATAAGGTCTTCCAAATGTGAGGTTGAGGTCAAGGCTCTGTGCAGGACACTCAAGTTCCTCCATTACCTCAAACTTACTGAACGTCTTTGGGATAAGAAGACCTCATACCAAAGGTGTTCCATAGGGTTGAGGGCAGGTACTGATGTTGGGTAAGAAAACATTATACCAAAGGTCTTCCAAAAGTAGGGTTGAGGTCAGGGCTTTATGCAGGACACTCAAGTTCCTCCATTACCTCAAACCTACTGAACATTTTTGAGATGAGAAGACCTCATACCAAAGGTGTTCCATAGGGTTATGGGCAGGTACTGATATTGGGTAATAAAACATTATACCAAAGGTCTTCCAATAGTAGGGTTGAGGTCAGTGCTCTATGCAGGACACTCACGGTTCTCCTAGACCTCAAACCTACTGAACACTTTGAGATGGGAAGACCTCATACCAAAGGTGTTCTATAGAGTTAAGGTCAGGTACTGATGTTGGAAGGGAAGTCCTGATCTCAAATGTGTTCAGTAGGGTTGTGGTTAGGGTTCTGCACAGGACAATCAATGCACCAAACTGGTCAAACCATGTCTTCATGGAGCTGGCTTTGCACACAGGGGAACAATCATGCTGGAACAGAAAAAGGATGTTCACCAAACAGTTACCACAAAGGTGGAAGTGCACAATTATCTACAATGTCATTGTATGATGTAGTATTAACAGTACCCCTCAGGTTCTGATGTAGGATGAGAAGACCTGGCTCACATCTGGTGTCCTAATTCATCCCAAAGGTGTTCAGTAGGGTTGAAGTCAGGGCTCTGTGCAGGCTGCTGAAGTTCCTCTACCTATCGCACCAATATGAACTTGTTGGACATCCCATTCCAAAACTATGGCCATCAAGTTGCCCCCTCTACGTCTATAACATCC